TGCAATTTACGTTACTGTCTCATGTGGGGGTGAAACTGGTCTTTCACACTACAGGAAGAGCACAGACTGGGCGTGTTTCAGAGTATTTATTGGCACAGGGAGAGGATGTAACAGGAGGACAGAGAACAGTATGAAAAGAGGTAAAAGTAAGGTAAACATTGCCCCTATGCTTAATTAATTAAGCACTATGCCATGAAGGTGTATGAGGGAGTGGATACATAGGTCCACATTTTCTTGATCTGGACACTAGTTGGAGTAGAAGACTGAAATACGTAACTAAGTAATTAATCAATACAACAGAATGTTTAATGTATAACATTACCAAACAAGTGAATGCTCCGGTAACTTCAGATGTTTCATCTGTTACTTTTATATTATGTTTCCTGTGTTTTTATGATAAAAATTACTTTTTTCTACATTTACTTCCAAACCAACCTCCAAACTACAAATGATGTGACTTGAGCAAAAGATCAAACCTCACAAATCCACCCTCTTCACCTCTTGCACAAATCTCACCAGCATATCATAATATACAAGACATATTAGGAAAAACGAAAAGTAAACATAATGATATCCCTATGCTTAATTAATTATGTCATAAAGATGTATAGGGGAGTGGAGGTATAGCTTGACCATTCTTAGCGTTGGCACTAAATGGAGCTGACTGGTCAACTTCACTCCCCTGCTGCTTTATCTCCTATGCAACCATGTATAGGAGGCTGGGTGGGCCCCAGAGCCAGCCTGGACACTATGGGGAAGAGAAAAGTCTCTTGCCTCAGCCAGGAATTGCACCCTGATTCTTCATTTTTTCAGCCCACAGCCTAGTTTCTGTATCAAGTGAGCTACAATGGCTCCCCCCGCCCCAAAGTAGCATATGAAAGTGGTACACCTGGATTTTTGCATAATAATACAGTACGTTACTGGGTTTCTCATGTTAGAAAGGTCCAAAATACTACATCCCTAATTAATATTTTCTTGAACAGGTACAGTGCTTTCTTTTACCCCTTAGAGGCATTTTTATATGTGCAACACTCATCACCAAAGAAAAAGTCTAAGAATGTCAGGCCTGGTGGGTCACTCCACGAGCCCACCATATGCAATCAATTTTTTCAAAGGTACATCGCCATGAAATCTCTTATACATACATGTGTGAGCACAAATGCACATTAATTACTTTTCTGAATACACATTTGGACATATTTCATGCTCAGTTTTAGCCTTTCAGTCAAAACACAATGCACTACCTAGCAGATGTGTGATTTTACATTTTGGCAAGTCTGTGGTATGTACTGATTACTTGCCAGTATGTGCACTGTTATGTCTTTGACCCCCCTCACCAATTATAATGTGTATCTTTCACAAGCACTGCAGCTGAATCAATACTCAAACTGCAAAGACCTTGCATATGTTCACAGCTTTACATTCACCTTGAACTCCAACGAGAAAGAAAACATGTCGTGGCATGTCATAAATACTAAATCAGGTTAGATATGAAAGTACATACTGTATGGATTTAAATGCAGTGACTGAGAAACATTATGAAATGCAGCAGTTACATTCCAGTGTGAAGAGAATGGGCTACATCCAGAACACATATTTGGTTTGATCTGCTGTAAGTTTAAACCTGGGGTGGAGGACCAACACAGAATTATATTGTCCCTTTTTATGCAAAAGTCAAGTCTGAACTATCATAAAAATCATGTAGAAGCATCCCACAATTTAAGATCCTGCTATGAAACTTCTATAGAAGAAATGTTAATTACAATTAATGGTTGGAATGTACATCTGTAAAATCAAAAAGGTTAGTATAAATAACAGCATATGGAGGGGGGGCATGCAGTAGCATAGTTGGTTGAGGCACTATATTACAAGCCGGAAGATTGCAGGTTTGATTCCCGATGTGGTCACTGGATTTTTTGGTTTACCTTCCAGCCACATTATGGCCCTGTGTTCGACTCACCTTCTATGAGAAATTAGTACCAGGAATCTTCCTGGGGGTAAAGGTAGGCTGGCATGTAAGGCTGACAACCTCACCGCCCTCTGTGAGCTGACTGTCTAGAGAATGTAGGAGCCTTGATATCTCACAACCCTGTGGGCCTCCACGGCCTGTTATTACGGGATACCTTACCAACTTTCATGGTACAGATTAGCTCAAAACATCAATCATAAGGAAAAGACCCTTTACAATACATGAGGAAATAGTGAGGAAACAGAACAATGTAGTTAAGATGATGTCAGTATTGTTTACCATACTACATGATGTTACATCCCAGGAGACAATAATATCAGATTTTTAAACAGAACAACCAATTGCATGAATGAGGGTCCATCTTGAGAAGTCAACAGGTGCTCAGCTAGTCAATAAATTTTCCACTTTCATGGAACATGTAAGCCCCTTACCATGTTCACAACAGCCTATCACTGGTCTCTACCTGCAGCCAGATGCATCCAATCCATACATTCTCACCCTATTTCTTTAAGATCAATTTCAATATTATTCTCCCATGTATGTCAATGTCTACCAAGTGGTCTCTTCCCTCCTTGCTTTCCTACCAAAACCCTGAGTGCATTTCTCCTAGCTGTCATGCATGCTACATTCCCCACCCATCTTCTTACCTATAGTGCCAGATGTAATTATGAATATAGAGAAGCTGACTGCTCATCTTAACAATAACAGCATAACATAAAATACTCGTAAATGTTATTCCTATGAAATCTGAATATATAGAATTGTTGGTTTTGTGTATCAGTAACTAACCAAATTAAGCAGAATCCTTGAGAAGCCAATGCTTGCTCAGACTGTCCAGAAGTTCCCTAAATTTTATGGAACCTGAAGGTACATAAATTATCAAGTTAATGAGAGCCTACCATTGGTCCCTAGCCCGATTCCTGGGCCAGAAGAATCCTATCCACACCTTCTCACTCTTCTTCTTTAAGATCCCTTTCAATATTATCCTCCCATCTATGCCTAGGTCTTGCAAGTGTCCTCCTTGAATTTTCCTACCAGAACTCTGTACACATCTCTCTCCCATGCATGCTACATGCTCAATCTATTTTATCCTCTTCGATTTGAATATTTTATAATATGTGGAGAGTACAAATGATGAAGTTCGTCATTATGCAGTTTTCTCCAACCTCCTGTTAGTTACTTGTTCCCTTTAAAGTCAAAATATTACCCTCGGCATTCTGTTCTTGAACACCCTCAGTCTATGTCCTTCCCCTAATGTGGGAGAACAAGGTGCACAACCAGACAAACCAACAGGCAAAATTGTGGTTTTATGTATTTTAATCTTTATATTTCTTGATATCAGACTGGAAGACAAAAGATCCTCAACACAGTGGCAGCAAGCATTGCTAAAATTCAGTATGTCCACAATTGCTACATGATTGTTTAGCATTTGATAGCTGACTGTCCCACCATACAAACAAATTCACATTCAAAGCACATCTTCTCCTCCCCTTCGTTTCTCTTCATCATGATCTTTTGCTTAATGTGTATACAGATAAAAAAGGGTAAGATGTAAGAGAGATGGACTATGCTGTGTGTATAAACTCCCCAAGGTCAGCAGGTGAATGCCAGGCTTGTTCCTGGCTTAGCAAGTCAACTAACCTGCACACAAACAAAGGCTAGTGGGTAGGGCTCAACCTCTCTCTTAATGAACAGTCAGGCAAGACAGCTGGGCCAGACAGTACAGCTATGTGCTGGCATTCCCTTATAATGATGCAGCAAAGCCACACCTCAAATTGTGCTGACTGTACCACAAGTAGTTCTCTGTGATATGCAGAGGATATTTCCTTTATAATTCTGACTGCCCCCAATCTATTCATCATGACAACCAAAGTACAACACACAGTTTACATATCATGGCTTCCCCCCCACCATCATCACCACAAAATATACAGTGCAAGAGAATCTGAGATAGAAACATGTATTTGCAGTTCAAATTCTACTTATCAGAATTTTATTTTCATACATTTTCTGCATCTGATAAGTAAAACAAGTTGAAATGTATAAAGCCATAGTGATGTACAGGATGATCAGAAATAAAGTGAGCTTTAAAATATTTAATTATGAAATAGCAATGAAAAAACAAAAAATCAAGTCACTGGAAAGAACACCTCAATAATAATTTTTTGGTACCCTACTGAAATTCAACATGTGCTCTGTTTGCGGTTCTGCATGTATCAAAGCTGTCCTCTTTTGCAGTGTATCAGGATGAAATCTTCCAACAGTATTACCTGAGCTCTTCTTTAAACAGTCAAAAGTTTCTGGCACTGATGGAACAAAAATTTCATTTAGCAATACCAGTTTCTTGGACTTAGTCCATTATCTGATATTCTATAAATAGAAAGACAGCTATTCTGGGAGCTTGTTGTGGTCCTGGCCTTGGGTGAGGTGGAGTACCTGCTCAGTTATTCTAATAGAATATCCTAATTTCATGAGCAGTGACTGACATCACTTTTTTTTTATCAGACCCAACTGACTAGGTACGCCTAACCCAAGGACAGGAGCAGATATACCTTCCAAAAAGGTTGTGGTCATAGCTTTATAATATCAGACAATGGACACGGGCCAAAAAATATGATATAACAAAGTGTAATACTCAGGTGCCAGAACCCTTTACAGTTGGTTTAAAACTTCATTTCTGATATAGCTCCAAGGAAAACGTTGACTGGGCTTAGGTTGAATGCAATGGAAAGCAAATGGGGCCTCCCTCAGGTGATTTCACAATATGAAAACTTCTCATTCAAGAATGATCTAACCACGGAAACGAGGCTGCATGCCATATTGTTGGAACGCATGACTTCGATGATTTAAACGAAAGAAGAATTCATCATGATATCCAACAAAAAGTCTCACAGGAAACAGAATAATTTTTCAATTTGTGGAAAGTAAAAATGGAGTATATCAAGATTTGTCCATTTCTTCATTCCTATATTTTGATTTTCACTTTATCACATTGTATGTGAAACTCAGAAGAAGGGGTCATGACACTCACCCCAGAATATGTCTTCATCCTTGACACAGCATACTTCAGGAGATTGCACAGCTGGTCCAGGCTCAGCAACTTCATTGCCCTTGATCTGGAGACATAATTACCAAAATACTATATGAAGTAGTCAAATGGAATGATGAGAAAACATATATCTTAAAAGTTAGATGCTTTTGGAACTAGAGCTAAAACCAGTCTTGGGCCTCTAGTGAATTTAAATCTGCTACTCTGAAAATAATATCAGCTTTTCTAACAAACATATGAGACATATGTACAATCTGGTATGTTGGTAACATATATTTTTTTTGGGGGGGGGACTAACTGCCTCCACCTTCATGGTTCAACAACAGTGTCACAAGCCGAAATACATCAATATGAAAATTCCATGAAAACCTCAGCTCTTATATAAGAGACATGTTCTTTACACACAAACCGCAATATCTGTTAATTTCTCCCTTACATTTCTCCAATGAGATGTTACTTACTGACCAATACAATCACTGTTTTAGCAATTAAGTTTATCCAAGTGTCTAACTCCCAAGTTTCCAAACTCAAGCCTAGTAACAGTATACTGTACATGCACTGTAAAAAGCATATAAATTCAACTGGGTACTGTGTCTTAGCAATATGAATATACACTGTGCATCTCACTGATATGGTTGGCATGGAGGTAAGAGATGGCCTTGTACTTCAATGGAATCATGTCCTGAGGAGCCCTTACAAGTATTGCATAGATTTTTATGTTTTTTCTCAGTCCTTCTACAACAGTGTGTCATGAAACAGGTCATGGCCACTTTCTTTTCTTTCCAGTTAACCTTACCTGTATCTTCACCAAGAGATCAAGATTTATATTCCTCACTGACAACAGATCACAAAAAGATGAATAAGCGAAATTTAAAATTTGGCTGTGAATTTAAAACTGTTGTGACTATCTTGCTTTTCTTGTTTTGTTTTTGCCAGATGTGTCATTTTCATTAATATTATTTCCACTAATATCAAAGCAAACAGCACAATGTAAACAGATTTACTGACTTCTGAAACTGATTTATTACTTGTAATGTGTTTGCACAAATTTATATGCTCCATTGTATTTTTAATTAACCATATTCACAAAACTGTGCCAACAGTACATACAATTTCATATGCATTAAGGAACTTTATCTCCTGGCATGGCTGCTTTTGTATCCGATCTTGTTTAGTAAAGGGAATGCTGTAGATATAACAACAGCATTTAATACAAATAAATCCATGTTTAATAAATCTCTGGGAGAATGGCTTTTCTTGGGCTAAATCAAGGTTTTGAGCAAGTGGAGGTTAAGAATTACATCAAGGTAATATTAATGATCTTACAAGACTTTATATGACACGGTAGTTCCTTTGTGTAAGTTGTTAAAGAAACCATGTCCATGCAAATAAATACAATTACTTAAAAATATGAAATAAACTCCTACATGAAATAAACACAATGGTTGTGCCAGAACAGTTTTCTGTAGAGAGGAAACAGGACCAGTTGTTGTTTTAACTGCAATTATATTAACCCGAGGTACAAGTTCTGGAAGATCAAAAATTTCTTATACTAAAGTGAAGTTCACTAAATATGAGAAAACAATACATTGTTTATATTGGGCTTTGGCTGGGACCAGAAAAAAATATTCTATAAGTACAGATTATTAAATATGCATGAACATTAAAACAGTCATTGTTGTACATTGAAAAAGATTACAATGAAAGTGATCAACATAATGAATGAATGAATGTAACAGTACTTTAGACACACACATCAATGCAAAGTACTACAGCATTCTGTTTTGTAAGAATGTGTTCTCTTGCATTCATTAACAGCAGTTATAATAAAGCCACATACAACTAGCATTTTTACACCTGAAAACAGCAGCACTGGGTGACCAAAATGTATTATTTATCACAAAAATAATACACAGAATACTTAGAAAAGGGTGTAAAGCTTTCTCTGGGCCTTAATTAATTAAGCACTGTGGCATGAAAATGTATGAGAAAGTGGAGGTATAGATGGAAGTGAGTCATCAGCTTCACGTCCTGCCACTTCACCTTTGGGGAGAGCCCCCAGTGCCCAATGGATAGGAGGGTTGACTGGCCCCAGAGACATTCTGGATACTGCAGAGAAGAGAAGAATCTCTTTCCCCTTCCAGGAATCCAACTATATCAACTGAGCTACCCCACTCCTAATAATAGTATATACATATAAAAATGCAGGAGACAGTGGAATGACACATGATAAGTTAAAAAGTACAATTAGCAGTTTCTAGAGTTTAAAAACAAACATGTTTAATCAAACAGTTAAAATCCTAGACATGTCAATGATGAATTACTTCCTGCTTGTTTTATAGACATTAAACAGCACTCAAAAAGTGTACTTACTTACTTACTTACTTACTTACGGAGCTGAGCCCTTCTGGAGGAGCCACCAATTCTGCAGCTACTCAAGAATTTCCCAGCATTTTATGGAACCCAAAGTTTCATTACCGTGTTCACAAGAGCCCTCCACTGGTCCCTATCCTGAGCCAGATCTATCCAATCCATACCATCCCATCCTATCTCTACCGACCTACGAGTGTGCCAGACCTAATTACAAGCAGTTTGCAAACACATGCAAGGGGATTTCATGTATTAAAGCATCTTTTTCATGTGCCACACAAATACTTTAGGTTTTTGGAGGAAAGGTATATTGAGACATCTATATCATTTTTCAACATATAATTCACTGCATACTGCACAACTAAGTAAAAAAGGAACCCTAGCCCCCAAAAACCAAGCGTTATTGGGAAGGGGTGTTATGTAATTCCATTCAACTTAACACAAATTCAGATTCAGTATTATCTCCATGTTACTTATAGAAATCTACAAGGGAATATACTGTAAAAAAAGGACATTTTCCATTCAATAATTATTCTGTGTGGGTGTGTCCCCCCTCCCCTGCAAGAGCTGGTGGGAGAGAGAGAAAGAGAGAGAGGGAGGAAGGGACAGAGAAGGTTGCGAGAGCAGATGATGGGGGGTGGGAAGAGAGAAGAGATGCTGTGTGTGTAGTTATGGTGGGCTGTAGGGCAGCACATTGCTAAACTATTGATCCTGCCTCTGCAGCCACCAACACATGCAGCATGGATTGATACAACCAGCATGATGGTAGGAAGGGCCAACCCGATCTCTGCTGGCTACCAGCACTTGGATACACCATAAAGCAGAACTGTCCAGCTTCCTTTGAGTCTGGGAAACTTTAAAACAGTTCAACATCACAGATCACTGCTTGATGATGTTTACAAATTAATGTACAGAAAAAATATCTGTATATTTACACTACAGAGCATTTATGTAGTGTTCATGGAAACAAAATATATAAGCTAGAACTAGTTCTTAATGATGTTATTTTGATTCTGTACCAAATTTTATGACAAATGACAACCACAAACAAATGTTTTCACAGCAAACATTCTGTATACTTATGAACAGTTTTTATGCATTATTTTATATCAAGAAGCTTCCTTGAAGCCTCAATATCAAGCCACATTTCAACAAAATTTAGTAGCTTTGGTACTGTTTACTGGTGATTTTGTATCAAAAGTTGACCATGACCCATGACACAGTGAATTTTACATAAAATCTAAAAGAAAAACTGCACACACAAAGAAAAGCAAAACAAATAAAAGCAAAGAGCTTGATATTCAAATGGCCTCATTAGTCATAATTACAGAAAATTTTGAATATCTGATAGACACTTAGGCTGAATATTCTGTCTGGAATGTTAAAACACCTGGCAAATATTTTGGTTGCACATTTTGTTCATAATATTAGAACAGCTGGTGAATGCTTTGTACAGGATGGGGTGCAGAAACTTCCTTTTTTTGATGGTGAATAAAAGAAAAATTATTTCTAATAGACAAAATTTATGTTTAGCTAATGAAAGAACATACTTTAAAGTTTTAAATCATGTAGTTTTAAACAAAATATATTGAAGGTGCTGGCCACCATTCTCTATGCACTGATGCAACCGTTTTCTGAAGTTCCCCTCTGCACGTTCCAACATGTGCACTGGAATTTGGGCTACTTCCTGCCAAATAACATTCTTCAGCTGAAGCAGGTTTGTGGGGCGATGTTTAAAAACATCTTCCTTGAGGTATCCCCATAAAAAAAAATCACAGGGGGTTAGATCAGGTGAGTGTGCTGCCCACAGAATGTCACCTTGAAGCGAGATGAGCCATTCGGGGAACTTTGCCCTCAAAACTGTCATCAAAGCTCGGGCTCTGTGGGCCGTAGCACCATCTCGTTGGAACAAGACATTTCCTAGATGCATTTCTTCAAGAGCTGGTTCGAAAAAGATCTCAAAATCGACTGTCGAACTGCCTCCACATTTTTTGGTGTCGTAACGCTCCGTTGTCGTCCTGATGATTTTTTCACCACACTCCCGGGTGTCCTAAAGTTCCCTGCCCACAAAACAATCGATTTCCGGTCGCGAACCGGACCTCTGGGCTTAATTCCGAAGTGAGTACGGAACGCACACTGCACCGCCACGTAGGAATGGTTGTTTGAAAAATAGGCTTCAACAGCAAACGCACACTGCTCACTCGTCCACCTCATGTTTCCTACAGAGGGGTATAAGACAGAAACTTCTGTGACTGCTGCATTCGCTGAGCCTATCCCCACTTCTCTGTGACCTCCCCTCCCTTCACAATGTGTCTTCACAGAAAGGAAGTTTCTGCGCCCCATCCTGTATAATATGAAGTTGGTTAACTAACCTGAAGGTTGAATTTTACAATAGATGCAAAGGTAGGATATCAAAAGTTTTAACTAGAAGAGGCACATGAGTTCTTCTCTCCTCACAAAATGATATCTGGTGTAGTGTGAAATGTGTTTTTCTGAATTACCGTAGAAAAGTTTGAAGAAGTACTTCAAATTTTGTTCCAGAACTTCTATTCCTTAACCAAGGATATCATTATGCATTAAGTACAAAAATACCTTACTTCAAATCTGCCAAGAGAACAAAGCTAGATTAACCTAAAGTAATAAAAAACATTCAAAAGTAAGTANAAATGTATTTAAACTAATGTATCTAAACTCCTT